AAATTAAAAATGCGCATCTCAGTGGGTGGCATCAAGTCTTCCACATTCCATGTGAGAGCTATACACAAAAATATATTCAGGAAGTAGTCATCGTCGCTACAAACCACATAATTATTAAGCAAGAAACCAAGAGAAGAGTATATACCTTTCTTCGTAGCATCCAAGGAAGCTTGCATAGTGGTCTATTTTTAATTTAATTATTTTTTAGTTTTTTTATTAGATTTGATTTTTATTTTTTATTATTTTTTATTTCATTTGATATAATTTTTAAAAATATTTTTTTCAATTTCATCATATTTTTTTCGTATATAATTTAATCTTCATTCTTTTTATAGCTAATTTTTTAACCTTTACACATTTTTAGATTTGATATTTTTTTAATTTTATTTTTCAATAATAAATTACTTAAAAATTGAGCTTCTTGGTTAAGCCTCAATCATAGGTTGTAAATTTGAGAAAGTGACCTAGGTGTACTTGTTATCCTTTTTTATTATTTCATAGGTTGTAAATTTGAGAGAGTGACCTAGGTGTACTTGTTATCCTTTTTTCAAATTTCATGTTTTTTTAATTTTATTTTTCAATATTTATTTAATTTGGGGTTAGGTTCGATTCTTTTTTTTTTTTTCTATTAGATTTCTTGCATATATTTTAAAATGATCTAGATTATCTGACCCTTTAACATTAGATTCTGTTTTATTTAGTTTGTTTATATGATTACTTCAATATCATAACCGGATCACATATTTTGCATGCTAACCTGGGTGGACCTGAGTTGGGTTTTTTCGATCTTTTTTAGATTATATTTTTTTCTTTAATATTTTGTTTGTTAGGAATAAAGCTTTAAATTGTTTTTCATTTTATTTTTTATGAGGTTATCGCATTCTCATTTATGTTTTTCTTCATTACCAAATATGATCATTTAACATTTGATTTTGAAAAAAATATTTTTTTATTTTAATTTCATCATGGAATATTTAGTTCATTGAGAATAGATCATCATGCTTTCTTTCTTTCTTTCTTTCTATTAGGTTACTCTAATGTTATACTCGTTATCATGGCATTGTGTTATTTGGTAATTGAACTTCATGATTTTATTTAATTTGTTTTCAAAGAGGTTATCTTAGTGTCATATCTAAGTCTCATAGTTGATGTCCTAACCCAGATAGGCTTAGGTTGAGTTTTTTTACCTTGTTTTTGTTGTTAGCTTTCTTCTCGTTTTATTTATCATCATTTTATTTTTTATTCTTATTATTATATTAATCTAGCTTTTTAAACTCAATCAAGTCAATTACCCATGTCTAAGATTTTTTTTTTGTTTTTTCAAAATATTTGCATCACCCTTATAACTTCTTTTATGTTAAAAAAATTAAGTTTGTCTGTGGTATAGCACGAATCATTTATCTAATAAAAGTTAAATTAGGTATGACCAATACTATAATATGTGAGTGAAAACATTATTTACTAAAACAATGTTTTCATGGTTTTTCCCCCGACACCAAAAAAATTAACAATAGATATGAGGGTATTAAAGTCTTTTCATAAGGCATATTAGTTGTTATCAAATTGACTAGGACCGAATAAGCTTTTTTCTATTTCAATTGCATGGTAAAATGACCAAAATATACTTGAAAGCAAAAGGATTAAAACTAGAATCAAAGGTCATTTTGTATTTTCAATATTTCATAATAGGTTTTTTGTTATTATCAGGTCAATTATTGAGAGCTTGGTATTTGACCATATATATATATATAGGTATAGTTATAGCAAAAACAACTAAAATGCTCTAAAAGCAATAATTTTAAAGTTAGAATCAAGGGATTTTTTTGTCTCTTTACAATAGTTTTTTTTTATTATTATTATTAAGTCATCTCAAGGAGATTTGTTATTTGGCCAAATATATATAAAAAAGATATAGCTATATGTGTTGCGTTTTCTAGTGTATAGGAGGTGCATATGCCTTTGAGACAACATGTGTGGCACCTTATGATATAAAAATTTTTATTTTACCGTGTCATTGAAACCAACACCACATCCTTTT